TAAGCCACTGAGCCATGGGGGACTGCAGTTAGGCTACATAATTTACACAATAACTGGGATATTGCACAGCGTATCTGCCATTGCCGCGCAGGTTACTACCCCTGCAGATGACAGTGGCTAGCCTCCAGGCTATGGCTTCCTCTCACTAGACGCTACGTCCATAGCATTTGAAACTAGGAGAGGCTACATTTGATATTACTTAGGAGTAGGCTGATTTGGTTATACGTTTGAATTTTCCCATTCGCGGTCATTCACAATCCGACAGTGATATACCAGGTTATTGAACTCTTTCACCCAACTTGGTTCACTTTCTGTTCTCATAATACAGCGGTTTTTCGTGTACTTGCCCTGCTCGTTCTTCATTGCTGGGTACTGGAGTACGCGCTACTCTTGCAGCGTCCGACATGACACCAAGTACAAGCAATAGCCTGATACACAAGTTTCTTTCTTCGATAAAGTTATGACGCTTGCTCTTCATCAGAAGTCTGCTATGTTGCGTTAGTGTAAACACATTGGGTACCTTTCATAAAAAGGCTGTGACAAGAAATTAGCACCTTCTTTGATGACTATAGGAGACAATCGGTGCGGACCGAGAATTTCACGCGACAGTATACGAATTTATTCCTCGTGAGCCGTTACAATATCTATAAGTGTTGAAAGTTGGGGAGGCAGTTGCATCGGAGCAGATGGTAAAGGTAAGGATAGATGGTTTTTCTGACCACAAAAGTCGTGGTTTTATTCTTTCACATGGAAAGCAATGTGTGACTTTGCGGACGACTCCATTCATCTTCTTAATCATTTTCCATATTTCTGGGCACATGTCTTTTCCCATTATCGACTGGACATACATATGGGTAAGGCGGAATATTTGGCTCATTAGTTTAGTCGACAAAGAAATTACTGAAATAGCGTCTTCGCGCTTGAAAGATTTTGCATTGGGTCTGCGCAGTTTTTATAGCACTGAGAAGAGAACCCGTATGTGCGGATGAAAATGGTTTCCAAAGGAAGGTAGCAATTGAAATGTCCACACATGGCAACCTGTATCTCCCGTGTTGACAAAATAGGTTGTGAAGTAATTCGACTCATCTGCTTTCTTCCAGATGCCAAAAAAGCATCAGGTGAAGCGGTGGATGGCTGCCGGGTAAGCACAAACTATTGCTGTTATCCCAGGTCCTAGCAGTAGCGAATATGTGTTGTTGGTGGAACGCAAGGTGACTAAACGGATTACCACTTTCAACCTGGCCGTTAACTAGTCAAGCAAGTTACAATATACGATGATTTCAGTCAGTTTATGAGGATACATGTGCGTTATAGTAGCAAGGAGGTCACCTTATGTCATTAATCTTCCCAAGTAGCCCGCAAATCACAGAACAATGTTAGGTAGAGCAAATTTTCGATTATGCTGGTTGTATTTCACCGTTCACAGTAGGTAAAACAATCTACTCCAATGCAATCACGGAATATTCTCATTTGGGAGAATGTCGGTGGAAATTATAAATAGGTCGTTCTCCCACTAACTCCACCCCACTCGTTTTCCGTACTCTACAAGTGTCTAGTAGATGGTCCCATTTCATCTGAAACAGAGTTTACAGTAAAGTTGTCAGCTGCATGCCACAGATGAGTTGCAGCCAGTCTGTTGACATCTACTTTCCACCTATTTACGCGACAAATTTCTGTGAAAAGAAGACAAAAGATGGGTAGCCATAGACAGTACACTATTCTTGAGGTTAATGGCAATTTATGCAGCAGAACAATTGACATTTGTTACCAGTATTGTCCATCCTCATTGGCTCTGACTTGTTCTTCGTCCTCGGCTGGCAGCCCACTTTACTGACCAATGTTCAGTGTTCACTCGTTGTTGCTGGGGTTATGTCACTGCTGTTTTGTTTACCGTAAAACCATGAACAATGAACAATGCATTTATACGGGTTAAGAAGCGTTGCTTTACAAGCCCCGTTGGATAGTTGGTGGGGATATCAACATAACAATTATGATGAAAAGGATAGTAAAATAGTTAATACTTTAAATACGAAAATAAGGACTTATCGTTTGCTTCGCTGCAGTCCTGCGATCCACTTAGATTCACAACACCCACAGTTAACAACAAATAATTCCAGGGTAAACTCCAGGTGTAGGATGGAGACGTAGTGTTAAGTAACAAAGTGTAAGTGGATGAGTGCATCATCCAACCGTCTTTTAAATATTGTTAGTGTCGGTGCAGAAACGACCGATTCTGGGAGAGCATTCCACGGGTGACTGACACGGATGGAAAAAAATTTCTGCGGCACTCCAGACGACTGTATTGTTCTGTGAGTTTTAATGAGTGACCCCTCAGGTTTGTGTTGCTGCTGAGTTGCAGTAAAGGGCGGCACACATGATGTGGGTCTCGTAGAATCAAGTATGTCATAATCAGGTCGCCTCGTAGCCTGCGATAGCTTCCACTGAACGATCCTAGTCGTCGCAGCCTCTCCTGGTAGGACCGATTGCGCATTCCAATGACGTTCTTAGATGCCCGGCGTTGTGGCTGCTGCAGTACATTAAGATCGTGTTTCAGCCATGGATGCCAGGCTTGAATTGCATATTCGACATGGGGGCGAACATACGCACTGAGCACTTGTCGAAATATGGAGCTGTTTATTTGTCCAAACGCCCGCCTCAACAGCCCTACGTGTTGGTTCCCGGTCTTCGAGGCCTTTTCGGATTGCCTGGAGCAACCCAAGTCATCTTGAACCAGGACACCCAAGTCACGTTCGAGAGTTGATTGTTGCAGTACATCCGTCCCGAGTCGGTATGAGTAGCTGCTTTGATGTCGGATGGAAAGCACCTTGCATTTACTGACGTTGAAATGCAATAAGTTTTGGATCGACCATTGATACACTGTATCTAAGTCACTTTGGAGCACATGTTGGTCGGTGTTCGCCTGGATCCTGCGCCAGATCTTGATATCGTCGGCAAACATTAGGAAGTTTGAAGCGATTCCCTGTGCAAGGTCATTAATAAACACCATGTCTCTTTGACGAACGCTAGAGTACGTATTGAGTTTTTCTCCACCCCAGACAAATTTCGCCAATTTATGATTCAGCAACGAATTTGCAGTGAGGGCATGATTGGTCACCAGTTCACCTAGTCCGCCGCCGCTTCGTGCTTCCAGATCGTCGGCCACCGCTTGGCCAGATAAGTGAAAAGACATGGACGAAGCAACAGTTTAAGTTCGGAAAGGAGTAATCAAGGTAAAAATTTACTTGTGATGACAAATGAGCGATGTAAGTGGCTAAAATAGTAGTTTAGCCAACTAGAATTGTGAATGCAGGGAGTCATTCACAAGTTGTCAAATTACTATCGTAGCACTGCTGGACCTATTCATAAACTGCAACTCCTATCTGCCATGAGGAAAGGCGCACAACCTCGGATTTACCTTACTACCATGTTCATGCATATAAATGCTTAGAAGAGTGTGCTCGAATGCTGTTAGAAGGATCAAAGTGTCAAAAACTGATGAGTCACTGTGTTTGGTAACGAAGTGCCGGCAACCGAATTGTCAGAAGTGATCTGATTCCAAGCCTGAAGACAGCCATTAATTCCGTCTCCGAATCGCTGCATCCATTTTGCGTGCGAAGCCCAGCCGTGTTGTTCCGCTCGGATTACGCCAATCATGTGGGCCTGGCTGTCCTCATACCGTGGATCAAGCGACAGACAAAACGATTCTGGCACTCGGAGGCTTCTACAGTCGTCGTAGGTTGTTGCAGCGTAGTAAATAAGGCAGGTATTTTGTGCCCTTGGGGCATACGCCTTTGTAGCCAATTCGCTTAGCATTACACTAGGTAATATCAATAAAATGGGAAGAAATTTACCATTTTAGCTGAAGTGCGGACAAGTCGCCTGTCCTTTACCTTGTCTTAAGGTGATGTCTCCGGTGCTTTGAACTGGCAATGTATTGTAAGTGTGGCATGCAGTTTTGTTTCCAGGTTCGGTTTGTAGTGCCCCAAAAGATAATTCTTTTCTTCTACGTTCAATTTTATCCCTAATCGCACAGACGCGAAATATGCTTACATTTATACACTATTCGTTCTTGTTTTACTGTCCCTCATCAGATCGTCCTGTTTGCTTACATCCGGCACACCATTTTCACGGTCGATACATTCCGACGTTGACTTTCGCACCGCTCGCTTCATTTCTCTTTATCCATTTGTAGCCAGTAACGAATGCAGTAAGTTGAGTTTGACTATCCCACCTTTTGTAACTGCGCTCCATTAAGCATCCTGTCTTGGACTGTTATTAGCCCTATAGATTACTTTCATGTTGGAGAAGAGATTAACGCCTTCCATGAGTTACTTAGCCAGAGTGGCAATTTACGTGATCGTGGAGCGGAGGTGCAGCAATGTTGGCGTAAAATTGTGGGATTGTAAAGCTGAGCACGCTATTATATATATATATATATATATATATATATATGCAACAATCTACGAATAGACAAGAGCCATCCGAAACCATAAGACCCAAAAAGACACATAAATAGTAAAAGAAAACACAACACAACACAGCAAAGTCTATGGTTTCGTCAGACGGCGAGATACTACCCGTTTGCCCAAGCCGATGTAGGGTGTTGACGTAAGGGACACCACTCGAGCCTTTGGTTGATTAGCCTGTCCACAAGGCAACGGAGCGAATTCAGGGAATCGCGCCAATTGGGAGCCGGTGCCTGATTGCTCAGTTCATACGCCCTTCGTTTGTTCCTTTATCAAACAGGGGCCGAATGCTCCCCAGAATTACAGCAAAAAGTTGCTGGAATACAATGCTTCGCCAGGATGAAGCAAGGGACGGTACGACGATTCTAACAAGTAAATAATCATAATAATGTGTCAGCTGTACGCTGTTACGGAGTTTCTCTACCGTGCGATCACCACCAGTCGCAAGCAAGCTGAGTATACCATGAGGACGTCCACCCCTACGCGGATTCGAACCCACGCCACAAGGCTGGTACTAACCTTGCAGAATACGGCAGAGAAGTTGCGGCGGCATGTGCTATAAATTCAAACACTCACATTGATAGTCAGGTGATCTCGTAGTAGACCAGCGGATTGGATGTATCATTGCTAGAACGTGCATTGCGGAACAACCAGGAAGACGGCCTAAATCTGTCAGAAAATGAGCAGAGCGAAAGCACAACTTAACCGCCTGACAGCAACAGCAATCGAAAATCGAGACTTTGTGGATTTCATCACGGGCGATGTTCCGTCAACAGAACTACCCCCTAGGTTATACACTATGAATCAGGTGGGGAATTTGCTGACCGGAATGAAACTTCGCCAGAATGCAGCACGACTGCGGACAGCCCGGACAAGTCTCAAGCAACGGGATCCTTCAGTTTTGGCGGCGCCAGTGCATGTCAGTTCAGTTCGTCAACGAACTCACTCAAACGAGGACAGATGTGCACCAATTTTTGGCAGAGAAATACTGTGCGATACGGGGAAGCAGGATCCCAAATGGTAACTTTCTCTAAGTTTAACGGATTTATGCTGCCAACCCACGAATTTCTTTCTACAAACTTACCTTTCTTGGACAGTGGTATCCTTTTACATCAACTTTCAAATCAGATATAAATGAACCCAAGGAATAGTAAACAGTAATCAGAAGTCAACTGGTTTGCTACTCTACTGGAGCACTTCCGTTCGATCTTCTGACGCCTGCTAATTTACAAATATTTTGTGTCTTACTTTTGCAAATGATGTTTTGCTGATACACTGTCATGTCCTTGCTGCTCAGTGACTGATCTCAACTCACTTACGTGGATGGGAAATGATGAAGGCGATAGAAATATGAGCACAGTACACATAAGCGGTTTTATCATTTTATAAATAAGAATAAATAAATGGTATATTCCTCGGCGATGCGAGGTGCAGTCCAACTATGTGGTCTGATCAATATGTACAGCAGGATCGCACAAAATAATCAATTGTTCACGCTTTATACAATGGATCCAAAACGGGTATTAAAGTAATTGGCAGGTTTAAGGTATTAAAGAAATTAAAACGCCAGGAACAATAACAAATGCCGATTTGAACAAATGTTCAGGTAAAGTAATACGGCCACTCGTGAAACCATCCCCAAGGGACCTGCTTCCATGCAAGATATTCCCTCGAAAGGTTTCGCCCACATTTCCGTACTGTTCCTGGCAGCGTGCGTTGCCGAAAGTTCTCGAGTAAAATGCAAACGCAAATGCTTGATACCGGAACCGAACACATGAGAGCATTTAGCACCCGTTTTCGTACCAATTGCTGAGTTTAGCTTCTTCTTATGCGCTGGTAATCAACTTTGTTTCTGCAAGCTATGGTTTAACACGAGCGTTTCACTGATAGCGGCTACCGCCGGCTGCCTAACAAGTATATTATTAACAATTTTGACAATGTATGTGGAAAATATCACTCTCATTTGCTTATAGACGAGTGAGGTACTTAAGAAACCCTTGGTAGTGTGGTTGTGAATCCTGTCGTTGTTCTGATTGACACAGCTCCATCAATGTATAGCGACCCGACCCGACCCCCGTTCACTTGAGGACCAATGAAAACATTGTTTCCAGGAAATTAGTATTACCATATACCTGGACAGCTAGACACTGGCTTCTTGAGCAAGACGGATTTTCTACTCTGTGAGTTCGTGTACCGTTCTGGAAATGTTCAGTATTTGCCTGAACCCGTTGTGTAAAATTCTACATAAACTTAATATTTCATTGTAAACATAGGCATTCAGTGAGGAGAGTGAACGGCATATTTCAAATGAGGGTTTGAGTCGATCAACGCTTTTAGCTCGGCGCCATGTTTGGTCTGGGTCACGCAAACGCATAGTGTGCTACGTCTTTCTTTCGGCCTAGCTAGCAAACACTCCTCGATGTCATTTTTATAGCTAGAAAAAGAGGGAAACTTTCACTATAAAAATAATGAGGGCCTCATTGCATTTTAGAACTGCGATCTTGGCCACATCTAAACTTGTTCTGTTTTGATGGATTTGGAACATCTTGCGTATGTCTAACGAGAGTTTACCACGTCACGCCTTAGCTGCGCACTTAGAACGGCATTGGAAGAGAACTCGTGGAGGTCAGCCGACTGTAGTGTTGTTATATTACTCTCCACACGGGTATTTGGATTTACTCTCGCTGTTGATTCGTCATGACTCAATACCCTCACTTAACGGTCATTGGACAAATGTATGTTCTTGCATCTGCTTGGCTATCTTGGCTAGGGGGGAATGGCTTAACGGTTGCAAC